GCTTCGATTTCACCCTGCAAGAGTACAATTGCCTGTTTTTACTTTTTAATACTTAAACACGTGTCAATTTTTTATTGGGGCGTTCCAGGGTGACGTGGTAGTCCCGGTGCATCGAAGAATTTCTCTCGTTAAGGAGATTCTTTACCTGATCTCGTTAAGGAGATTCGTTAAGGTTGGAAACCAACTCTCCCAAGTATTAATGATCTCAACCATGACCTAGGAAAATTTCACGGTCGGCCACGCAGGGGCCGGCGCCGGCGGCAGAGTCCAGAAGGTCAAGCGTAGCATAGTTTTGGAATTATCCTCCATGGCCACAGCAATAATGTTATTAATCAATAATGAAACATCGTAGCTAGGTCCACCAGATCATAATTCGTTACCTATTTCCATTATTTGGAGCTATTGTAGTGGTCCGTGCAACCAACTTGCTGCATATTAAACAGGGAAACAAAACAAGATTAATGGGAATATCTGAGGTGAGTTGGAGGTGTTGAGTATGGCACAGTATTGTAGGGGCCGCCATTATTGATTTAGTAATTATTTATGTAAGGTGTCCATTACTTTATACCATACTGACTAACTAACTTGAATAATAATTATACCCAGCAACGCCCATAGATTCATCAAAACAGGAAAGAAATCTATTGGTTGAAACCAGCCGACAGGCTATGTTTTGCCAAGCTTAGCGGCTCCTTAAGAATTGTTTCTCATGATTTTTAAATATGATCATTGATTTTTTTTAATGTTGTATTTTATTTAAAGCTAAATTATATGTTTAGTCACTCAAATTATATAAATCTTTCATATTTGTCACTCGAATTACTTTTCTTTTCTTATTCGTCATTAACTTTACGAATCGTTTCACCATTGTCACTGGCCGTTACACCCCGTTAAATTTGCCCTATGTGGCAGTCAACTATAAAATTTGGTCGTTAACTAACTGACGTGAAAATTAAAAAAATTAAAAAAATATTTTATTTTTCCACCTCATCATTCTACTTACTTTGTCCATATGATTTACCATAATAATTATTTAATAAAAATTAATAAATTACAAAAATTAAATATGAGTGGGAGGAAGAAATTGCAGAGGCATCCCCGCCTGCTCCATGCTCTCAGAATTCCTCCCCCACAAAACTTGTACCAAATCCATTTCGTTCTATGGTAATCGATGAAATTACCCGTGTCTATACTACTACCCCGCCGCGACTTCTCCTTCTCCCACATCGCCGGCGCGAAAGGTGTTGTCGGTCCCAGTCCACTTAATCGACTCCTCTTCTTCGATTCCACCGAGGTCTTCAGATCTGCTGCTCCGCAGATCGGACTCGGCCGCGAAGAAGATCCAGAAGGTGTTCAGGGGATTCACAGTGAGAAAGAGCTTCTAAAATATTGTAGGCTAAGAAAGAGCTTCATTAAAGGCAGTGGAAACAGGATCTCGGATACCACAGATCTAATTTGCAGAGAACGAAGGATCTGATTTGCGGTGGAAATCTGTCCCTGGCTTGGACTCCGACGCCAGGGATTTCAGGAAGCTAGTCATCAAGAAGGCCATTGCGTTGCAAGAGTTCGTCCATTCAATCATCGATTCGGGATTTGAAAATTATGAATTCCTAGAATCACCAGCTACAATTGAAGTTGTAGACAACTCCCACGGCGATTCTGAGTCCGACTCACCCGATCAAGCTGAAATTCCCAGGGATAACGACAAGCAGACCGAGAGCCACCAGAGTCGATGTAGGATCTGCAAAGTTGGACTCTGGTGGATGAAAAGAAGATGATCGAGGGGAGCTTCTACTTAACGGTAACGGTAGGGACACCAGAGAGCTTGACGAGCTTGGAGACGAGGGAGGAGAAGGTCATCCATTGGTGGAAGGCGACCATCCGGGTCTCTCCGTCGATTTAGCAGAGCAGTTTTTCGTGTGGACTGATAATTAATTTTTGTAATTTACTAATTTATAATTAATATGATAAATCACATGGACAAAGTGAGTGGAATGATGAGGTAGAAAAATAAAAAATATATTTTTTAATTTCCATGTCATCTAGTTAACGGTCAAACTTTATAGTTGACTGTCACGTAGGACAAATTTAACGGAGTGTAACGGTCGGTGACGAATGGTGAAACGATTTGTAAAGTTAGTGGCGAATAAGAAAGAAAAGTAATTCGGGTGGCAAACGTGAAAGATTTGTATAATTTGAGTGACCGAACGTGTAATTTAGCCATATATTTAAATATGGATGTAGATTTTAGAGAGGTTGCATTCAAATATGTTATATATATGCCTAAATTCATTAAGTGTTAATGATTTCCCATTTTGCTACATGTTCTGCTAAAACCGACACAAACATGCATAAATCAGTTTTACAATCGGTCGGCTGGACCATAGCACTTGGAAAACCAGCATAACGGTATAAATTGGTTTGACAACCTTGATCTTTAGGTACTTAAAAGTTGAAATGTCTTTGCTAGTATAGTTGAGTTGAAATTTATTAGATTTATCCTTAGTTGGCCTAATGATAATGAAGGAATGATAACATCCGCCACACCTTAAGTTCCAACATTGGCATCAACAACTAACAGGAAAAAAAAATGTTGGATTTGAGTCTTCAATGGGTAAGCTATCGTGACAAGATAAGATCTGTTTCAGGTTATTGTACTCTTTCACTTTGACGTGGAACTGGAAGGTAAAGAAGCAAACTATTCCATCAAGGTTATCATCAGATGATAAATCCTTTTGACTTGGAGGATAAAAGAAGCAAACTATTGTGTCAAGATCAGCGACGGATCTAGAACACAGAAGAGCACTGGCCTGCATTTCATTAAAAAATTAGAATCGTAAAAAAATATTATAATTTTTTTTACAATATAAATTGTACACGACGGTATTTTAATTTAGCGAATGCATCAATAATGGAGTCCACATCCATACCAATAGTATACATTGTTTTAAATAAAATACTTTAGCAATCGGCTAGAAATTCATCGTTCAATTTGTTGCGAAATCAGTTTTCATATGTTTCATTGTTGAAAAGGTTCTCCTTGTAGTAGTTGTTGATACGAGCATCGTCAACACTAGACAAATCAATCGTGCATTGTGTGTCCATACCTATATCCACTAACTACTTTAGTAATTTTTCAAGGGAATAAACCTCATATTTCTTATAGTCTTTTATGTTTTATACTTTTAGAATTTTAGATTTCATTGTTTTTTTTTTAGAAAAATAGTCTTTGAAGCTAGAATTTCTAGACTAAATTTATAGTAGTGATTTGAATATGTCAATCTGAATCATTTTTCTACTTACACCCAATCTTATTATAAAATAACACTAGACCGAATAACTAAAATCGAAAAATTCATAAACACTATACTAACTCCGAATCCAGCGGAGGGCTGGGCCGAGGTCCGGGATGGCCACCCCTGGATCCGCCACTGGTCAAGATCACCTGGGGGCGTTCAGTAGTCCTCAGTAGTCCACACTGGTATATCAAGTGAATGTTGGAACATTAGATCTCTTGTAGAAAAATAAACATTGGTAAAAAACTATTTGATTTCAATAATTCGAGTTGTTGGGAGATGTTCAATAATAGATCATACACAACTTATTAAAATCTCTCTTAAACGAAAACCATCATATATGAGCTTGAAATTTGCACAGATTCGCACACCATGTGCTTAACAGAATAGATATGGGTCATCGGAATTCAGACAAAAGACCTCTCGATTACAGAAGACTCTGATACCATGTCAAGAGCCAGTTGATCTCAACAACTCGAATTATTAGTAGCATCTAGTTTTTAACAGGATTATCAAGTGTCACACTTACGATTGCATTATAATTAAAACAATGCTTGCCTGGTCAAGTACTTATTGACTATTGCTGATCAGATCCCTATTCCAGGGAAGCATCGCAGTCATTATATATCATCACCACCATAAATTCATGCACTTGCTCTACAAATATAGACACGACCAAATGAAATGGGGTTCAGGTTTATTTCCTCAGCATGAAGTCACGCTACAGTAGCTAGATTCCACACAAGCACTGCCAATGGTTATGAGATTTGGGAATCCACTCCCACTATAACTGGATTTTGTACGTATGACTGTTTTTATAAGTTAAATGTTCGTTTGACGATAGTAATCATCATCATTCGTGGTCGAGGGAACCTGCCGGGAAATCTCTCGCGTTATGCTTTTGTCGTATATTTGGCATTGAAAGAAGAAATCCCCCAACATAGCCGATTACTGTACATCAAGAGTGCTTTTACTGTCCACCAAGACTCATGTGTACTGTTTCAACTCGGCTGCGGATCCAGTGTGGGGAGGTGCAGGGGGCTTCCGGTTTGATCCTGACTGAACTTGGTGGTTTGGTTGCATTTGGACCGTAGTTTACCTTCTGGTTGGGCTTCTTTGATTTGTCCCAAGCATGCGTTGGTCGCACTGCAACTTTGTAGAGCCTCTGTTTGTCCTTTCCCCGATGAGGTGACATCTTCCTTTCCTTTCAAGGACTTTTGCGCAGCCGGTTAGAGGTGAGCTCAACTGCCTTTTGCCCTTGCATAGAAAAAGGAATGAACAGACTGACAGTGACTTTGACGGGACTGGAAGAGTCTGATAGTGGTCAGAGATTGCCTGTGGGCTGAATACAGTCTTGGGGTTAGAGTGGTGCTTTGAAGGGACTGATAGTAGGGGGTTGCTGATGGAGACTAAATTAATCCAGAGAGAGAGAGAGAGAGAGAGAGAGAGAGAGAGAGAGAGAGAGAGAGAGAGAGAGAGAGAGAAAAAGAAGAGAGAGGTTAGATGCAAATTAATAGCCTCTTATATTTTCCCTACCACACAAATTACCTGCCGGCGCGGTGTCCAATGGAGGTGATGCTGATCGTTTTTCCTCTCAATTAGATTTAGTCGCGAGTGGGGAGAGGCTCAGAGGCAAAAAAATAGTTTCATCTTCCTTATTTCTATACGCGCTCATTTCCTTCTCTCTCATATCTTCTTTGTTCAGCAGTTTCTAATTTCTCTCTCTTTGTGTGTTGCAGAGGGGCTGGCGATTGGAATCAGTTCGTCTTTGGAGTTTCTGGTGCTTATGCATGGTGGATGCAACACTGCTGTGCAATCTTAGGTACGTCATCAGTAATTATGCGGTAGTTTCCAAAGAAACTAGATTGTTCTCCAATCGCCCCATCTCGGTTTCATGTTCCTCTTTTTTTTTTTTTTTCTTCTCTCTATTTGTCCATTAGATGCGATTGAAGGGCTCAGTAGCCACAACCTGGCGACTCGGTTATCATCGATGGTCATCCTCCTGGAATCGAACAGAATAGTAAGCTCTTTATACTTACCATTTCTATCTTTGTTTTTCCAGTCCCTTATTTGCGATCAGCTGAGGGTTTTGAGAAGAACCATATTTGTGGGTTCTGGTTTGGTTTCACGTGATTTTTCAGTCTCTTTCTACTTTCGGTTGATTGTTCTTCTACTCTTCTTACTAATATATTTGTCTCTCTTTCAGATCTATTTTCTTCCATACATCCCAGCGTTATTCGTCATCTCGATGGGTTTATGCGCCTCCCTTCCTCGAATGGGTAATTGGTATTTTTCTTCTAACTTGGGTTTGTTGAATGCCTCTTTAGGAGGTGGGTAATTGTTTATTGATCAGACTCTTCTCAGGTGTTGTGAGGTGAAACCTACAGTGGGGAGAAGATGGATCTGTCGGTGTTGGTTGTTCCAAGGCGATGAGGAGATTGGTGGGTTCAATTTCTTTCTAATTGTTTTGCATTATCTGGTGTACATAGGTTCTATTTTTTTTTTTTTTTTTTTTGTGGTCATGAGTTCTTGCTTTCATGTTCCTGTTTTCTCTATTTTCTTGATGGTTGGGGACGGGATCCATGCCAGATGAGAAAGAATGCATGGACATGCAAATGGCCTGTAAATCTCAATTCAAGTCATATCCCTCTGACATCTTAACTGTCCAGCTAATCTTTAGAACCGTGCAAGTCATTTCTTAATTTCCAGCTTTGATAAATATGTTCTCTGGTCTGTGGTGTTTTTACTGCAATTTTTTTTCTTAGTAGCTAGGTTGCCACTGGTGATTCCTAGCTTCATACTTACGTCATAGTTTTAGCACCAGTCATAGATCCATTTCCCTTAGATACTATCTAGGATAATTGCTCTGTTGGTTTCATCTTTTTATGAATGCATTTAGATTAGTTTTTGTCTTTGCTGCTTGGGCATCGTAATTTTCAACTCCATGATGCATTCATCTATTTCAGTACTTTATGGTTTGCGAAATTAGGAAGCTCTATGATTTAGCTGTTGCCCCATAATTTATGTTGAATAAACCTACTTTCAGAACCATATTGGTTAACCCTTGGAGTAAATAACATCCCCTTTGTGCCCTTGCTTCATGGATCACCTAATGGGGAATTTTCTTTGAATCTACTCATTTTGGTTGCCTAATATTACTATATTTGGTTGTCAACTCCCTTGCAGATTCGGCAGGTTGAAGTTGTGGGGGTTTATACCCCTTCCCTTCGCTCACTGGGCATCGTGGTGACCGCCATACACTTTAACTTTTAATGAAAATGGTATCAGCTTGCGGCATTACTTCTTTCTTTGTGGTGCATCCGTAATACTTGGTATCTTCTTTAGTCCCTTTTTATTTCTGTGCATTGGTTATTATGGTTATTAATGTGTGTTCCTTTTGTTATTTGCAGGGGGTGACACTATGTAGAATGTGTATTGTCATTTCTGGTATTTTGGTAAACGGGTTACATTTGCAAACTATGTACATATTCTTTGTTCAGTTATTGCTTTTTCGATTATTCTGATGGAATTCCTTATAAACATTTGTGTTGACCACAAAACTAGATTGTGTGGTTAATTTTTAAAATATATGTTACACCAGATTTGTAACCTTTCCTACAACCTGATCCCAAAATATAATATCAGATTATGTCCCGTTTTGATTCTGGAATTTAGTTATGTTCTTGCTGTTCTTTCCATGTTCTTCGTCAAATATAGCTAGGTGTGGAGATTGATCCATCAACTTCAAAAAATAGGAACAAAAGGTGTTTATTGGTGAAACGGTTATGTCCGGGTCGTTCAGTTAATAGGGCTAAAAACTTAAAATTGGGTGGTTGTAGAAGAGCCCAAATAAACGGTGGACCCAAAAATTGATTACAGCACACTCTCCCTTTTTCTGAATAAATAAGTAAGAAGTGTACCCAATTCAATTTTATACCATTACCATATTTGATTGGGACTCATCCATAAACCAAACACAAAAATGACTTTCATCAGTTTCATGTCCATCCCACGGAAATAATTACAGGGTAACGAAGAATGCGCACATGTAAATCTAATTGGAGAAAATCAGAAGAAACTTGAAGTGTATCAAATTATCTCAATATAACAATTCTGTCATAACAACAAAATCCCTTACATTTATCTCAAGTCCCAGTGCGGAGTGCGGGCAATGAGAACTAGTTATTATTATATGCAACAACGGAGAGCTGACCGGAGGCGGAAGGCATAAAATAAAATATTCCGTGGGTCTCTAATATAACTGCTTTTCAGGTCCGGTCAGGGGCTATCAAAAGAGACCAATACATATCTAAGGAACGAATTCGTTAATGTTTAGGTAGCAATTTGATCCATGTACAATGTATGCATGGTATATATTTTAGATTTCTGAATAGGTGCATTAACCAAATAATCAATATTACCCTCGAATTCAGACTATGCAACTATCATAGAGATTAGATGGCTTACGGCACAACCTTGTCAGATTAAATTAGAGTATGTATATAGAAAGACCAATATGGTGGTCGATTTTCTAATCTCATTAATTCACCTATTATCTTTGGAAAAAAAATACATATTTCATTTACATTGTAATTCTTTTCTAAAAAAAAAGTACACATTAAAGATTAAATTAGAGGATGTTTATATACAGGCCAATCATGATACTTATGGAGGCAGCTCAACAAATTGAATAAGGTAATGTATGGGCACCCCAAACTGCTGAGCCATGACCCGCATCATCACTCAGTCACTCATATTTCCCGCATTTTTATTTGGGGTGATCGAATTGGGCTGATGACAAAATTAGAGCTTTGAATGATTGACTTCAAATCCTTACCCAAAAAGTATCATTGACTTCTTTTGTTTCTTCTTATGTTGGAGAATTCCTTATTTGCTTCTTTCTGTACGTTTCTTTCATTTCTCTTTTGTTGTTGCCCAAAGGCCAAAGGCATCTTTATTATTGTAACACCATGAGTTTTTGGTTTATGTTCAACTCGCAAACAAATCGTGGTCGAGTTAATAGCATGATTCTAAAAAATACGCATAGACACTCGCTTAATCTTGTTTAGGCAAGTCGAAAAGAAAATGCCTCGTCTTGACAAAAAGTAGTGGAGAAGGCGTCACGATCACGTTTTGCATGACCTCGGTGCCGTCTAGTCATCATTGAGTTGCGCCTCGAAATAATGTCATGTTGTCTTTTTTCTACCTTTTCATATGCTACTAGCTAGAGAGGACGATCTTGATTTCTCTATAGTTAGGCTAGAATATAGTAAGAGACGACATTGTAAGAGTAGCTTCTTCTTTTTTTCTTGCGCTTCTTTGCTTTCAATGTGTTTCGCTATTTTCTAGCTTCTTCTTCCTTACTCATTTCTCCACACTATGTTTTATGTTTTACCATGTGTTGTTGATGAGAGTTTAGAAATGAGAGGTAGATGCGATGATATTGGTCCATAAACTTTTCATTCTAGACAAGTGTGAGATATTTTGCTACGTTTACCTCTTAGTGCTTACGCACGCCTACGCGACACATAAGCGTGCTAGGCGCAAGGCAAAACCTCAACGCTCGCCTTACGCCTAGCGTTCTTGAACCTTGGTTAATATAGTAAGATACAATATTCAGAGTTGGAGAACCGGGCCAATGTTGTGTGTTAGAGCGTCCACATCAATGCAATTGCAAAAGCAATTGCATTTAGACCTGGAAAATGAGGACCCGACCCGTTGAACCGACCCGAACCCGCCCGAAAAATAGAAAATGGGTTGAGGTTTTTATAACCCGAAATCCGAATGACCCGAACCCGATTAACCCGTAGTTTTTGGGTCGAGTTGGGTTGGTTTGTGGGTTGACCCGCCAGACCCGTTTCATTGCATATGTCACTATCAAAATGATAAAATCACTCATACTTTGGTGAGATGTTTAAAAAAATTTATTAGGATTTGAAAGACAAGTTTGGATTGTTAAGATAATCAAACATCATTTGTTTATTGTAGTAGTATTACTTTCGTCATTGTTTTTTGACAATTTGTGCAATTTGTATTTCTTTTCATTAGCATGGAAGGAGTTGAGCATTTGTTAATTGACATGTGCTAGGCAAACTATTGTCGCACATACGTAAAAATTTGTGTTCTTTAAAAATTTATGAAACATGTTTGATATTGTTTCTGAGAACGCTCATGACCCGAAACCCGATGGGTTGGGTCAATATTGACCCAAAATCAGCAAACACATCATGACCCGACCCGTGAAGAACCTTAACCCGAGATTCCCAACCCGAAATTACCCAACCCGACTCGATTGCCAGGTCTGATTGCATTAATGCTCTTTCTTTGTCAACTCAACTTTTTTGCAATCTAACTCACATCAGTTTCATTCACTTATATCAATGTAATAAACTTATAATTGCATATGTGGGCTTACTTTTTTTTATAATATAAAATATTTTTTTATTTTTCTCTCTCTTCTCTTCGTGTTATCAGAGTCGGCATTTTCCTTCTTTTTCGGCCTATGACGATCGTCACCGGCAAAGCCTCTACAGGTGTCGTCGATGACGGGCGGACCTGGGCTTCTTTGTTTGCGATCAATCCTGATTTTAAGTTGGACTTTTACAAACCAGAGTATGTTAATGGTTCATTGCGGATTCCCAGATCGGTAGTCGATGAGGGCTAGAAGCGGTGGGTTAATTGTCTCATGGGCCAATTCCTTGATCGTCAGACGTTGTTATCTTCAATTCACTTCTAGGCGAATTGGATTTGGGGGCGTGATGGACCGATAAGGGTTTGGTGGCTGGGGGAACGTCTGGTTCTATTTCAATTTTCGAGCGCGGAGGTCTGCCAGTGGGTTTTTGAAGGAGGTCCTTGACACCATCGCGAGAACATGATCTTCCTGCGCAAATGGGAACCAAGTATTCAACTGCTTGCCATCGATAACTCTGTTATTCCTGTATGGATTAGGTTATCGAATTTGCCGTCTGAGATGACTTCGAAGGAGGGTTTAGCTCGTATTGTTAGCTCTTTGGGAATACCGCTCTGGATGAGATTTCCTACAAAGCAGGGGACAAAATTTGGGGTGTCAAAAGTATGCGTTGAGATTACTATGAAAACAAATCTTGTTAACAAGCTGAGTATTACACTTGATGATTGTCCTGAGATGTTAGACGATGTTGAGTTCTGTCATGTCCAAGCAAATGTGAGAAGTGTGGTGTATCTAGGCATGACTGCTCGCATCCTAGAGGCAGAACAAAGAGAGTTTGGGTTGTTAAGCAGCCCAGGGTTCAAGAAGTTATTTCGGTTCTCAAGGAAGATAAAGGAAAAGGTGCTCTGGTTGCTCAGGAAGGGGATATTCTTCAGACTGAGGTGATCTTGGAGGATACATTGAAGAACATAGTTGGGCTTTCATCCTCACCTGTGACAGGTTCTTCTCCTAATCATGAGGATATTATAGTAAATAAACCTTCTAATGATGGTGTTGAAGATGGTTTTCGACTGGTGACAAATAGGAAGAACGGAGTGAGAGCTTTTGTGCCTAGGTCAGCTCCGTGGAATCAGTATTTTGGACTAGGTAAGAGCCCTTTGGATGATAAGAGTTTTCCATCTTTGAGTCGACCTATGCTAAGTCGAACTGTTAATCCTCCCCCCTGCATCTGTCAAGGATAGGGGTAGCGGGGGAAACGTGGGAAATGAAGATCATGTGTTGGAACATCAGGGGCTTTAATGCCTCCAAGAAGCACTCAGCAGTGCTAAGGAAGTTAAATCGTTTGAAGATTGATATTATAGCCCTCATAGAAACTAGAGTTATAGAAAATAATAGTAGTTCTATACTTTCTAAACATTTTAGTCATTTAAAGCATCTGAACAATTACCCCAGTCCCCTAATGGTTGAATCTGGATGCTTTGTAAGGATGGTCTCAATGTTACAAAGGTTGAGGATGGTATGCACTTTCTGAAAGTAAGGGTTGGGGGGTCTTCCCCTTTCGTACTTTTGGTGGTCTATAGTCCCCTTTCGTACTTCAGCAAGAACTCTCTTTACCTATTGTTGTCTGAGGAGACTTTAATGTGTTTTGCATCTAAGAGAAACTTCCAATTTGGTTGCAATGTCTTCTAGTATGGTTGGTTTTAAGTCTTGGATTAATGAAATGAAGCTGCTTGACCATAAGATTTTGGGTTCTTGGTTTACGTGGTGGAATAAGCAGAAAGATAACCCTATTGCAAAAAGGTTGGATAGGATTTTGGTGAAAGAACCCTGGTTGTCTGTGTTCTCATCGTGTACAGCTGTCATGACTCCACCTGAAGTTTCAGATCATTGTGGACAACTACTGAATGTTGTACCCCAGGTGGATAGCCTGCCAAAACCGTTTAAGTATTTTAAATTATGGGCTGGCCATCCAACTTATACTGATTTAGTTTCAGAAGCTTGGAGTACTGATGTGGAGGGTTATTCCTACTTTGTGTTCTATGGTAAGCTTGGACAAGTAAAATTGAAGTTGAAGAAGCTCAATAGGGAATTTTATTCGAATATATCTGCACAAGCTCGAGACTGCGAGAATCGATTAGAGTTGCTGCAAACACTCCTCCTTGCTTCTCCTGATGAAACAGGGTGGATGAAGAAAGAATTCTTGCTGCTCAATGTCATGAACTGTAGAAGGCTGAGGAGAGCTTTTAAAAAAGCTAGAGTC